CGCATCTTGTACAGCAATTAACCACTAAGAAGAATATATGCAGTGTATTATTTGTTGAAACTGTACTTCCAATTTGATTTGAAACTGTCTCATTGCTATTTGTTTATCAATAAAATTATGAGAAAAAAATAAAAAATAAAAAAGATCATTGAATCTTCACATGTTTCTCAAATGGGCATTTTCCTTTTTTATTTTATGAAAAAACAGTGTTTCATAACAAAATAGTAAGAGAATAACAGTCATTAATATGCTGCTTATCATTCATTTCATTCATACTACTAGTTTATCCTAAATCATTGAGAGAATATTTTCTGTTATCCTTTTTTTATTGTCAGAATCTTTTTGGTTTATATCTTGTACTCTGGGTATTTCAAACTGGTACAGCACATGTATATGTTTAAACGTACTTTGATTTGTTCTTTGTCATGAAGGTATCATGTCCAATAGAATAGGGCTGAGGTGTGTCTTTATTTAATCTACAGCATGTTGAAGCAGTCTTCTCTTCTAACTCTTTAGGTGCAGCAAATCTCTGAGGTCTCAGAAAAGCCAAAGTCTCCAAACAGTGGCTGCTGCCTGGCTTGAAATCTTAAGCAGTTATTTATTTACACTTTGTGTTCCACCACTGAACTAAGTAGACCCTGTGTCTTATTGATCTCTATATTCTTGTTCTCAAAACAGTACCAAGTCACAAAGTGAGCTTTGAAAGAGACTTCTACTACTCAGTGTTTATTTTCTATTTTCCTGTGGTAATAAGAATCCTGATTTGAACCTGGGAATGTTGTCATCAGTGAAAAGTCTTTATTCTCTAGTTTTTTTCTAAACATCATGATGTTCAATGATATGTGAATAGAAATGGGCAGTTTCCCTTTTTAAAATTAAGTTGGTACAATCTAATGGTGATTTTCATCATAGGGAATTTGTAACTATACATAGTATATTTTCATTCTCCATTTTCTCCCATCCCCTCTCCTCGTTTTGAACCCCCTTCCCTTCCTTATTTACAAGGCTTGATTTCCATTTTATACTTTAAAAATTTTCCCTTTTCCCTTCTTTTCCTTCCTCTTTCATTTTCCTAATTCCTCTTTCCTTTTGAACAATTGCTTCCCATTTCATCTGTTGCATAGTTTAATTCTTGTTTAGTCTTTTGGTTTCTCACACCAGGGGGACAGTGTGATTTTATACACATAAGTACAATTTATTTCACTGAAGAAAATGGTCTTGAGTTGTATTCACTTACCTAGAAATGTCTCAAGTTTATCCTTATTTATAGCTGAGTAGTACTCCATTGCATAAAAAAAACACATCTTTTTTTTTTAAATCTATTCCTTAGTTGACAGGCACTTAGGTTGTTTCCAAGATTTAGCTATTATAAGCAGTGCTTCTATAAACATGGGTGTGCATACATTACTGTGGTGTGATGTTTTCAGTTCTTCCAGGAAGATACCCAGAATGGTTATACCTTGGTCAAATGACATCTCTAATCTTAGTTTTTTAAGGAATCTCCTCACTGATTTCCACAGTGGTTGCACAAGTCTACATTCCCATGAACAGTGGAGAAGAGTTCTTTTTCCCCGACTGCTTCTCCAGCATTTGTTACTGATTCCTTGGTGATAGCCATTCCTTCTGGCGTGAGATCTAGGTCCCCCAGCACTGTTTAACTTTGCATCTCTTGAATGACTGTGATGTTGAATGTTTTTTCATATTTCCATTTGTATTTCTTCATCTGAGAAATGTGTATTCATCTCAGATGCCCATTTTTGGATTGAAGCTTTAAATTTGGGAGGACTGATTGTTTTCAATTTTTTATATGTTCAAGAATTAATTTCTTTGTCTGAGGGACAGCTGGCTAAAACTTTTCCCACTCTGTAGGTTGTCTTTTCATTCTGTTGGTGATTTCTTTTGCTGTGCAGCAGTTGTTTTTTTAAATAGGCTGAGAATCCAGTTGGTTGTTGATTTGTTTTATTCACCATGCAGAGTTTTGTTCATGAAATCCTTGCCAATATCTGTGTCTTCAAGAGTTCTTCCTATTATCTCCTCGAGAAGATTTAGTATTTTTATTTTAAAATTTACATATTTGATGCATTTTTACCTTAGTTTAGTGTCTGGTGACAGACACAGGTCTAGTATTAGTCTTTGACAGGTGGAACGCCAGTTTTTCAAGCATCTCTGAGTAAAGAGACTATCTTTCTTCCAGTGAAGGTGTTTGGCACCTTTGTTAAAGTTAAGATGGCTGAATAGCAGGTTATAAAGTCAATACTCAAAAGTCAATAGCA